AGCCCACCATGCAAACAGGCAGGAGAGAGATGAATATCCATATCAGTGCTAGTGAGAGGCTCGTAATGCATTATGAATGACAGGAGTCAATGAGCAAAATGGTTCAGGAAATATTCTGTCCATCTGGAAGCCTTCAGTGTACAATCAACATCTGTTGCTAAACTGCACGACATTCTCTGAAACTTGCCAGCAGTAACAGCACAACAAAATCTTTCATTGCTGTTTTACTGAATTTGCTATTGGTCTGTTTTTACAAAACGTAAAATTCTCCCAGAAAGCATTGAAAGATGGACATCTCGGTAGATAGAAGTCTTGTGTTTTTATTTATTTAGAGGATACAGTGGTAAAGGAATAAAGACTATAATACAAAACGCACATCAACGTCTGCAGCTCTATGAAACAACATTATCACTTTGGACAACCAACCACAACATAGTGACAGAGAATCAACACATTTGAGATGTATTCATTTAATGTACAAGTCAACATTTACAATGGGCTTGGAAGCTAAGGTGCTATTCTGGTGTAAGAAACACATCCATGTGGTCTAATGAAACTAATGAAAATAGTTTAGCACACAAATGTAAGCCAGTTAAAGTGATTTTCCTGAACATCAGCTCACTAGATGCAGCTAAAATACACAAAACCCTAAAAACGACAGAAAATAAATACTGTATGACCAATGGGAAATAGATCTTCATTAGGAATTTGGTAATATTCTTTTAAATCTGTACTTTATGTGTTCGTTTTATCTGTATGCATACTGAATTGCTACAGCCTTGCTAACAAATGTGACTTAAAGGAATAGTTTACCCAAAAATGATAATCTGCTGAAAATATACTCAAATTCACCTACATCTTGCATGGCCTGAGGGTGTTACTTCATCCGAACAGATTTGAAGAATTTCACCATTCAGACAAATTCAGCATCCACACAACTCCAGTCGATTGATTAATGATCTTGTGAAGCAAAAAGCTGCGTGTTTGGACTAAACAAATCCATCAAAACCTTTTTTTAACTTCAAACTGCTGCTTCTGACTAAAACACGAGTCCTCTATCCATATGCTTTCAGTGAAAAGTCTACACCATTTATGAGTGGAAACAACCCAGAACAGGTCTAAACAAATATGTCAGTGGATTTTGATGTGAAAGGACATCAAGGGATGGACTTTTTCAGCATTATTATGGATTATGAATTATTTTGGCCAGAAGCGACAGTTTAAAGTTAAAATGCCTTAATGATGGATTTGTGTCTTACAAACATGCAGCTTTTCACTATGTTAATTGACAGACTGGAGTCATGCTGATTACTTGTGGATTATTGTGATGTTTTATCAGACTCTCATTCTGACGGCACCCATTCACTGCAGAGGATCCATTGGTGAGCAAGTGACGTAATGTTGAATTTCTCCACATCTGTTTCGATGAAGCAGCAAACTCTGTCTACATCTTGGATGGCATAAGGGTACGATTTCTGCAAATGTTCATATTTGGGTGAACTATTCCATTAAAATCAAGGGTTTACAGACACGGTATTATTATTACAGTGTGGTGGCAACAGCTAATACACCTCTACTCATTACATCATAGAACATCTGGACCATTTCTTCATCTAAGGTGTTGACTGATTTTACAGAGCTATATGAGCAAAACGAGACAGGCTCGACATCTACCCAAAATTACCTTGTAATGCTACTTCAGATGTGTTGTTATAGAAAAAGTAACCTTTCTTCAAAGGTGATGAGTATAAACTTTCCAGAGGTGTAAAGAGTACCTAAAAACCATACTTGAGTAAAAGTACAGATACCTTACAGTGAAAATTACTCCACTACATGTTACAAGTCACCAATTCCAAAACAACTTGAGTAAAAGTCTTAGAGTATCTGATTTTAACAGTACTTAATTATTTTACTTATACTAAATATAGGCTCAAAGATGCACTAGTCAAATAAACATTCCAGTGAAAAACTGTAATGTTGTGGAGAAGCTGCGGAAAACAGGCAGAGGCAAGGATCTATGTGCTGGTATTTCATGGAAAAAAACTAGAACAAACAATAAGGCAAAAACCAAACGGAACAAAGAACAGAATGACTGGCAAACAGACATTACATTCAACAACTCACAAGGAAGTAAAGAAAAACTAGGGCTATATATACACACAGGGGGCTAACAAGCTAAACAAGATAAGGCACACTTGGGGAGACCTCTTCAGTATAATGGAAAAATAAAATAATGTTAAGTAAAATTAAAAAACCAAAGCCTTCTTGCACTGGCTGTGCTGGTTTGGGCCTCATTGCCGGCTGCAGTCATGTCCTCATCTCATATATAAAACACCTGTGATTCACAAATACTTAAGGAACTCGCATTCACATAAAGTAGCCTTGTTGACAAGTTTGGGTGAGTAAGGGCAAAACTCACAAGATGCAGTACTTTCAGTGACCTGTAATAGGCAGTATCACGTCTTTTGTAGCAGAAATAAACTGCTGCAGAAAAAGGTAGGTCCATGCAAAATGTAATGTGTAACTGCAACACTCATTTCAAATGTAGTGGAGTAAAGAGTACAGATACTCATTCAAAAATGTAGTGAAGTAAAGACTAAAAGTTGTTAATATCTTTGATACGCAGTACAACTACAAAGTACCCGAAAAGATACTCAAGTACAGTAACTAATTACATTTACTCGAATACTTTACACCTCTGAAACTTTCTAACTAAACATTGGTGGAAGTCAAAAGTAGAATAATATGAGCCCAAAGTTGACATCTATTCAAACTACAATAAATAATGGGCCATTTAATATTCATTTTTGCTTTGAGCTGCTTTTCACTACACAAGAAACGCATTCATGCATCAAATTCAATTTAAAAATCCCTTACAGACCCTCTTTTCTATAAGTATATACTTTCGTGCTGTGAGGTAAGTGGTGAGAATAGAGGTGAGGTGTCATTTCTGGGCAGCTTATATATATATGTATCATTTGGAATGAAAGTTTCTACACTTAAAAAATGTTAATCTAACAGTCATGGTGATTAATAGGCACATTGTATATTAGAAACATGCGTGTGGAGAAGCCTTCGTGTTAAAATGAATGAAGTGGGCAATGTTAGAGCAAAAACAGAAACAAATCTGATACATAGTACATGTTTAGGAAGCACCGAGTGTGTCCAGCAAGAACTATCTTATGTTTTATTTAATACTGACGTCAGTGCTACAAAGGCTGTGCAGTTGAGCTGCTTGGATACCAGTCTCAGCTCTTATGTTATAATGTACACAGCATCAATGCAGTTCAGGAGAACAATGGAAATTAGTTTTACACCCTTTGGCAAAGTGTTCCCTGCAGCCCTTTCTAATTATAGCTTGTATTGTCATATGCATTGATATCACTTATCACACATCTGCTGTTCTCCTAATAGGATCTTCAGATGCATTTGAGACTTTAGGAAAACAGACGTCTCTGCAAACAGAAGGAAATATAAATAAATCACAGTGATCTATGAAATAGATGTAAAACAGTGGTTCTCAACGTTTTTGACTCTAAGGCTCTCCTTTGTCCGAGACAATATCCGAAGGCCCTGCTATCTATGCTAATATGCACATCTGGCACTTTTGTTGTGATAAAAATAAATAAACTTGATGTCAAATAAATAAATAAGATGTCAGTTTAATATTGCATGGGTTTATTTATTCATTTATTATAATTTTAATTGAAAGAACAGTTCACCTAAAAATGAAAATTTGCTGAAAATGTAGGGTGTCCAATCCTGCTCCTGGAGGGCCACTGTCCAGCAGAGTTTAGCTCAAACCTGCCCAAACACACTTGCCTTGAAGTTTCTAGTGAGTCTGAAGACATTGGTTAGCTGGTTCAGGTGTGTTCAATTAGAGTTGGAGCTAAACTCTGCAGGACAATGGGCCTCCAGGAACAGTTTTGGACACCCCTGCCCTAAGGCCATCCAAAATGTGGAGAAATTTACCATTACATCCCTTGCTCACCAATGGATCCTCTGCAGTGAATGGGTGCCGTCAGAATTAGAGTTCAAACAGCTGATAAAAACATTACAGTAATCCACACGACTCCAGTCCATCAATTAACATCCTGTGAAGCGAAAAGCTGAGTGTTTGTAATAAATTCACCATTAGACTTTTTTCATTTTGTAGTTTACAAACCATCATGTTTTGAACAAACCATTACTACTGGCTAAAAAGTTGTCTTGTCTGAAACAGGATTACACTCCATTTACATGCGAAAATAATTCAAAGCATTTCTAAACAATTATGTTGGTGTATTTTGGTGTGAGAGGTCAAGAGGGGATGGACTTTTTAATGGAAAAAGCGTTATTATGAATTATGGACTGGTATTTTGGCCAGAAGCAACAGTTTAAAGTTAAAACACCTTAATGATGGGTTTGCTTCTTACAAACACGCAGCTTTTCACTTTACAAGATGTTAAGTGACGGACTGGACTCATGTGGATTACTTGTGGATTATTGTGATGCTTTTTTCAGCTGTTTGGACTCTCATTCTGACGGCACCCATTCACAGCAGAGGATTCACTCGTGAGCAAGTGACGTAATGCTAAATTTCTCCAAATCTGTTCAGATGAAGAAACAAACTCATCTACATATTGGATGTTCTGAGGGTTAGCACATTTTCAGCAAATTATTATTATTTTTTTGGGTGAACTATTCCATTGAGATTATATTAATATAACTAAATTTAAATAATTTTAAGACTTATCAGGAAGTTTGGTTTAGACCCCTAATGAGCCCTGGCCCTCTGGTTGAGAACCACTGATGTAAAGGAGCAAAGAAACAAAATGATGTGTAAAAAAGTATGGATTCAAAGCACATTGATTTTCTGATGACATTCACATTTCTATTAAAGGTAATTTCTCATCTTTGCTAGTTATTCTATGAAATTTACAAAATATTATCTTAAAAAAAAAAAAAAAACTTTCAGTTTACAAAACGTAAATAGTTCAAACCAACCCAAAATTTGAAAGAAAAAAAAAGGAGAAAAGTTGTAATAGACAGTCATGTGGAAATACGCAGTCACTCATGCAGGAACACATATTTTCACACTTAAAATAAAGATATATTTCTATTCCTATGTAAATTTCTCTATTATGGTCCCAGGTTTATTGAGAGGCTTTCTGCTCTTTTCTGACATCCTGAAGGGCACATTTCGATGGTTGTTGAAATTAGCTGCGATGCTTGTGAAATTGAAATCAGTCTACCAGTAAGAGAAGACACACGTTGACATCTAATTACACCATAAGCAAAAGACAAGGTGAGGTGATGCACAAAAAAGTGGTCGATAGCCCTGTGCTCTTATGGTGGCTCCCGCAGTGTCACATAAAACAGGAGGTGCAGTATCTGTGTCGGCTGAAGTGAGAGGTAACTGTGGGCTTCTGCAGGTGTCGGTTTCAGCTCTTGACTCAGGAGACTCCAGCCACGCAAAAGAGTCCCTTCTCAAAGCTGGTTTGTTACAGGTGATGCATGAGTGTGCTGGAGAGGCCAGGATTACAGAATCCTGTGGGAAACGCTGTCCTGAGGACTGCTCTCCGCTGTAGTGTGTTTGAGCAGATCCAGGGGCATCAGAGGAAGGGGCTGGTTTTGTTCACTCACTACTGCCTCGTATGGGGGCGCCCCATCTAAAGGTAAGGCTGACAAAGAGATGGAGGCGATCGGCTGGTGCCTGAAGTCCTGTAGTCTGGTTGGGTAATGGGAAGAGCATTGATGTATTTGTTATCAGTATAATAGGCTACAGCTAAATATTGGAGGGACCTATTGCACACCCTCTTTAGGGAACCACATATTATGTACTGTATACATTGTAGGATACATTTTATAACCACTAGAGGGTAGGAAATGCATTTATGCCAAGAACCTCCAATATGATGATCTCCTTGCTAATATGTAAATACCTATATAGTATATGGGAACAGTACTGTTGTTTCACTTGTTGTTTCCAGAATTAGATATTTGGCTTTTATACTGTCATTATAATGAATACACAAACATGATTAAAATATTGTATGGAAAATATCACATTTAAAATACACTGTAGGATATATATGACGATATGCTGAGTGTGTTATTGTGCTGGTACCTTAAGGACTGCCGAAGACACCTGACTCCTAATGTTTTTAATATTCTTCATATTCTGTGTTGTGGTCAGTTCATACTGATAGAAATTAATCTTTTCCAATAAGTTTAAACTGATTTTTGCATTTTATGGGCATTTTTATATATATACTTTAACTTACTGTCAATAGAGTAAAATATTGTGATTAATCTTATGATTTGTCATGAAAGGTCAAGTTATGCTTTATTGTCTCATTATTGCTTTATTTATTTACTCAGCAGCAGCAATGATACACAAAAGAACATTCAAACAATGATATATGACACTAAAATTATAAATTAAACAAAAAGCTTGGGTAAAATATTTTTTCTTTAGATTTTCTGTGGACCCCAACCACCCCCTTGCAGCCTTTTTTAATACAGTAAAACTGAATATTATATAATATTTAACAAAGTAATAAAAACAAATGTCCCTTTAAAGTTGATGTAGCTTTAAACATGTAGCTAAGAAAAATAATAATTTCAAGCCATTTTACACTTCACATGCTAGCAACATTATACCAGAAGTGTCAGATTTATGACAGTATATTATGAATTTTTATGACAGTGTTATGAATTAGGTTTCTGAAACCTGTATTTTAACATAGTGAGAATATTTTTGTATGCTGTTATATCATCTGGATGCAAGAATCTCATTCTAAGTATTACTGACATTTGATTCTCTTTTTGTTCCTTTCCACCACACCAAATTGCCAATTTCACTTTCTCTGTGCGATATCGTGCTGCACGGCAAACAAAGCTCCAGTGACGCACATCTGATTTAAAGCCTGATGTGTCCATCCAAGAGAAAAGCAAACAAAAAGAAAGAGAAAGAGAGTGAAATGGCCAACTTGTTTGTGTGAAGGTGAGTTGTGTGTGTGTGTGTGTGTGTGTGTGTGAGAGAGGTGTGCTACATTAACTAGGTACTTCCAGTAAAGTGAAGCAGTCTTATGCCTCTGACCTCAGCATGAGCAGGGCACAGAGTTTTAGAAAGAGTAAGAGCGAATAGCAGGAGGGTAATTGGATCTTGGTATGGTTAACCATATCAGACTGTCAGTGAGAGCGGAAACGGGATGCTAGAATTGGTTTAAGCTGCCACCCCAGGCTTACACATGAGAGATGAACACAGAGAGAGGGCTTTGTGGTGGGCACAAAGATCTCTGTTATAGACACATCTGTTATAGCACAATATGTAATTTTTCGCCGCTAGAGGGCGCGTATTCAAAAGAAACAAATAGACACAGGCGTAGTTAGATGACGCCGTGACTGAGTGTGGAATCAGGGGAGTTGTCGTCTTCATCCCCCACAGCCGAAGCAATCCGACGGGACAGAAATCGTGTTCATGGATACATTTGATCATCATACTAGATACATCATACTAGATACATTTGAAAGTTCTGTTATAATGCTACGCTGTGCGGTCGTCACCGGTCTGTTAAAACGCACAACATATTAAAGCATCTTTGGTGTTTCCATGTTTTCTACAAAACAAAACCGGAAATCGAGGGTGTATGACGTCATTAGCAGGCGACACAATGACACTATAGACACGGTCCGTGTCACTAGTTAAAATTGCTTATTTCTCTGGATTTAAACATTCTTCGAAACAT